AAATTTATTCAGAGCCACAAAATTTAATCAAGTTTATTAAAGTTCCCAAAAAGAATGTCTACGGCAAATTAAAAATAAAATGACGGTGTATTTTCGGAGCGTTAAATGTGATTTATAGGAATTGTTAAATCTGACCTCGGGGTCTTGGAAAAACTAATTTCCCGTGGTCGGATTTTTAATACGCCTGATGACCTAGTGGCAGGAAAAAAGAGTTGGCAATTTCGAGACGATTTGCCAAGTCTTTCGGAAAAATATAGATCTTGAAAAGACGCTTTCTTATTATTTAGGTCACGTAGAAAAATAGTAATTATGTAAATTTGCTGATTTAGAGAATATATATGCTAACAAATTGATACAAATATATGAAGTGTAGAGGCGATAATATTTGTTGGATTTTGAGTCTTATCAATATTCGAGGCAAAGAATTTCTTAATAATTGTGAGCATGGTTTAATTTAATAAATTCCTTATGCTTTTCCAACAATAATTCAGCATAATCTTTCAGCTGTCGTGAGTCGTCTCCATTCCGGCGAGAGTTATTCACCCTCTATTAAATAAAGCGAACGAGATTTACATAAATTGGGAAATTTGTAGCTGTTTTCATGGTTGACTGCATACCGCTTTGGCCAGATCGGTTCTCATTCATTCACGGTTGTTATTCGTACGTCATCCCCTAGGGCGACACGACTTTAAGATCCTAGTCAACAAGCTGCCTTTCGTTCCAGAACGTTTTACGTCGATAAATAAAATAAGTCTTCTTCCACCGGAAAGCCAAAAACTTGGTTAAGTGGGTGGCAAGGACTAGGACCGAGCGAAGCACGGTATAAAATAGGATCCCGTTTCTTGTTAGAGGTCTTATCATATTACGGTTATACGCTTAAGTTTCCTACCGTTGCAAGTATCCATTTCATGACATGAAACATTTCTACGCCGTGAACTTTTGTCTTAAGGGCAGATTTATGCCACTTTGAAGGAAATTATTTTTATAAATTCCGTCTTTACCAATTTCCTCTGGGGTTTTATTAAAAAAGTTACCCATAATAAAACATTTTATATTCCTTGAATCGTTATCGTTCAGCTTCAAGTTCCTTGCGTAATATCGCGGTATAGATAACATCAATGTGTTCCTTAAGTATATCTTTAGTGTTGTTTGCAACATTCTTATCTAATTACCAATTCCATAATTTATTAGTCTTATTTGCTTCTGTAATTACATTTCGCTCCATCAAGCCAAATCGAGTGCATGTAAGTTAGAACAACGGGTAATCTCAATTGTAAATTAATCTCCGTAGTTCTGAAGTCTTAAAACGTACGAAGCTATTTCCGAGCTGTTTCCCGTACTCGTCGATTTCACCCTCCAGTTCAATTGCATTAAATCCGAGGGTTGTCCAGACATTGATTGAAAATAAACAATGTGAGTTTAATAGTAATTTAGCTTACCTGAAATTGAAAATAATCGGAAATTGAAAAAGATTATATCCCTTATTCAGTAATATGTTTACTTTAATATTTGACACCAATTCATTTTCGTAATGGAGTTTTTACAGTTTTTCAAAAATAGTAAAATGAATAATGTCGCTATTTCCTTCGATTTTGCATAAATGTAAGGTTGTATTTCTTTAATAACGTTATTTACGACATGCATATAATATATCAGTCTTGTACACGAGCTGATATTCCTTTATCTATTCTCTTCCACAAAGGAAAGCAACGAGCAAACGAGGACTTTACGATTGCATTCAGATAGAGCGCAATTCCTGACTGTAAGCCAATACTAAATTGAAAAACAATTCAGAAATAAATAAATATACGTTTCCTGGCCATCGACCGTGAAATCGTGTTCGTCATTCGATGTGTATTTCTTTGTAAACTGGCTGCTGCATGTAATTTTTGCAATATTCCTGGAACGTAAATATATTCGTCCAGTTTCGATACAGCTTGTTAAGCGTTTACTTGTTAAGAATTTCAAATATACAGAAGCACAAAATGTAAGTATTCCAGGTATTATTATTTATTCAAGACCTTTCTGAATATGGTGTATTTATTTTCTTGCGGGAAGTTAAAAAAAGCCAGAAAAAAAAATGGAAATGAAAAATCATAATAAAAAGTAAACAAAATAATGTACAAATTGTTGGACATGGAATAAATAAAAGTTCTTCTACTATAATTATTGCTTTGAAGCTTTGTAAATTATATTCAATTCGAATTCAATAAAAGTATTTTAATATTAGTTTCCTATAGAAAAGCAAATTCCTGGATTATTTCCCGCGTAATTCGCCCACTCTAGTACTTATCCTTGTTTGTGCTTCATAAAGTAGCTTTACAACTTTGCTGCATGCCCCTTTTTACTTTCCAAATTACGAATATTTGGAGCTGTATTTAGTCCGCTCAAACTGGAACGAATCCAATGATATATTTCACCGAATCAATTTATTCGTCGGTTGGTAAATATTTTTGTTATTCGACGTAGACATAAAAGTGTTTGTAGAAGAAAATCAACAGGAATAAACCGAGAATTTGAAAAATTCTACCAAGTACTAATCATATTAGAAACTAACAAAATTGTATAAAAAATATATCTACGTATCTACTTAACCTTAAACTTAATAAAGTCTATTAAAAAATATAACGGAAAAATTACAGTACCTACCGAACTGACTAGAGAGAATATGGTGTTACATCTAACTTATAAAGCAATATAAATGCTATTACTTCGACTTTAATTAAAAATAAGTTATAATAAGATACCTAACTTGAACTCTCTTATAAGTTAAATTAAAAATAATAATCGTCTCTATTTTAATTTAACGTCGAAAACTGCATTTTCTACTACGTACAACTCCGCTTGTCGAGTTGATGAGAATGATTAGGAAGGACAATTCACCGCTGCGATTCAGACACTAATATTATTATAAGGAATACGTCGACTACTGAAGAGCAGGTTCACCTGAAATTAGTATTACGGTAGTGTAACGTCGACGCCAAAGGCTGTGCGAATAGCTTCGTCTGAGCGTATGTTTAAGCTGTATCAGAGATTCGCCTAACCACGTCTGAAAGAGCTCTAAATAATGATAACCCATATAGGACGTAATTTGAGAGACTTTATCTTGGCACATCCTCTCTTTCTACGTGAGCATTACGTTTGTAATTAAGTAAAGTCTAGACGTAAACGCAAGTTTCCCAGAAACGTGAATACGTAATCGTGTTTTTGTTGAGGAATTTGTAAAGAGACGGGAATTATGTTCAATTCGATTTTCTGTTTACAGATAATAGTAATGAATTGTACGCATTAAAATAACGTGGAAAAATGTACCTTTTTTTAAGGAAGAAGATTAATTTTTTTGCATAAACGTTCTGTCTAAATAATGATTCTTTGGAGTTCAAAACTTATACCAAACGTTTTCAGTCTCGGAACTAATTGAGCGAAAAATTTAAACCGTAACTCAATTACTCCAATTAGCATTTAATGAAAATTTGATGGCCACGGCGTGAACACTGAATTCTAATCGTGTTTTTAATAGGAAGGTCAGTGATTAGCTTGTCAGAGACAAGTGATTTTAAGTGAGAGCAATTTGTATATTTTATAAATTATCAGCCTATATCGAGAGTATTATTTTCCATAATTCAATTCTCCAACAGCACGCCTTGCGAAAACTTTGTTTAACAATAAAAATAGATTTAATAAATAAATTATAGCTGCGTGAAAGACATCAAGGAAGGCAGGTGAAAAATCATTTTTTGATCTAGACAGCAAACACTTTTCCCTTCCATCACGCCAGCAGCTCTTAATTCAATTACTTGGGAAACAGAAAGCTAAATCAAATAACAGGGAAACATTTCCAGCTCTTTTTATATCGCTTTCGTACGTTGCGTGACAGTGTTTAGGAGATAATTTACTGACTTTTTACCGAAATCGGGAGTTAGATTGAGACTCTAACAAAACGTACCGTTATTAAATCTTCTTTAATCCGTGTGGTGGCTTTAATAAAAACAATATACAGATTTATTGTCGGGTTTTCGCCTTCTGTTCTACACCCTAATAACTGTTTCCAATGTTGCATGGAAACCGTTTTTGTCTGCAAAAATATATACCCTTTATTAATTGTGCTTATACATAATTCCTCTAAATATATATACATACCATAATAATTATTGTAACCCTTAGGACAACATTCTGTTTTGTTTACGGAGTATAAACATTGTTATCTTTAATATTTTCTAGTATGCGTTCATTATAATTCCTATAGGTAACATGCTAAATACATAAGGTATAATAGAGCCATTCGTTTTAATAAGACTGCATTTAAATATACATTCATTTAATTAATAACAACTAGAATAGCTTGTATAAATAATAGACCCCAGTAATATTCCGGTTTCCTTAATTCAAAATATGCTCATATTTAGTGGACATAAACAGATCGCCGGAATAATCGTAAAACTTCGAAAACTAAACAGCTAAATAATAAGGAACGTCGTAATGCTTAATGACTTGAATAACGGAATGGAAACAATGGAAAAGGATACATTAGTAGGACAATATGGGTAAGATATTACGGGCAACAATAGAGACCAACTTATTACGTATTTTACTCACGCCGCTTTGTTACACAACGGCACTTGGGCACAAAGAGGAATGCGAAATCTATAATTATTTCACCGAAACTATTTGGTATTAAAAGATCAGTTTTCGATTTCTTTAGCCTTTCTTTACGTTATCCGTTGATAAATGAAAGATTATCTAGATTTATCTAAGTGAAAATTATTTGTAGAACCTTCCTTGTCACTAACACTGCAGTATTTTACACCTCCTATCCAGAAACATGAACTATACCTATGTAAAGCCAAAAGAGTTTTGTCAAATATTGCCAAACAAAGTTTAAAATGGTCCCTAAGTGTCTCCAAAATATGTTTTTGTACGGGCAAATGATTGAAATACATTACTTTCTCCCTTGTAATTGAGATTAATGGAAAAATATATTGTTCTGTATTTTGTTGCAGGAATGAAACCGCGAATGAAGAATCACTTTCGAGCGCATCAACTGAGCGTTTGGCTCCGTCTGATTCCTGAACTTCATAGAGCCGGTATGGAAGATGTCGTGGCTCGGCATAACTTATTTAGAAACCATAATAGCGCTGACCTTTACGAAGGCGCTGTTCGACCGGATCCTTTATCGAGATTAAATTATTATGATCCAACGATGGAACTTATCAGAAGAAGGTCGAATTCGAGTTTGACGACTTTAGAAGCCCCGACAACTATCGAAACTGTTGTTACAACTTGCGTTAACGTCGTCTCCTCTGGTAACTACAATCACCAAATATTCCAAAGTCACTCAAATTCTACCGATACATTAGCTAGCTTAGAGGCGGCCGGATACGCCGCATATAGTACGGCCTTAAGTGTCACAATCGCAATCGGTTGTTCTTTATTAATTCTAAATGTTTTAATTTTCGCGGGAGTATACTACCAAAGAGATAAAACTAGAATGGAGGTGAAGAATTTGCAACAGCAGCAAAACAGGAATCAAGCTGCTTTTGAAACAATATCCAAACAACAATACCACTTAGGCCATTCGCAAAGCTCCAACGTTATAGTCAACGTCGAGCAAGACACATCGGCTTTGATTTTAGCAGCAAACACTCAGCAAAACGTCGACATGAACAAAGTCCAGCACTTCTATCCTTCTGGCATTTCTAACACGCTGAAAGCACCACCTCCCAGCCCTAATGTGATGCTCCAGAATTGCATGACGCTGCCAAAGAACGCCTCAATTCACAACTACCAACAACAGGGTTGCCAACAACAGGGTTGCATGACACTGCCGAAGAACTCCACCATGGCCAACAACACGGCTTGCATCATAGCTGAAATGCAGCAGCACGGTTATGTCCAACCACCGAACGGGAACGCAACGATGCCACTTAGTGTACCAAAACCTCCGCCGCCTCCTCGAGCTAAGAGCCCGGAAAGCCAGCCCCTTCTCAATGCTCACAATAACATAAATAAATGCAACATGCGAGTTCCCCGTGCTGCTATGAGTGAAATGCGAGTGTGATAAAAATAAGTGTTTTAATCTAAGTGTACGAGAACTTGATCTTCATATTCGTCCAAAGAGATTATTTAGTTTTTTCATGCAGGTTTGGTTTTAGGTAAATTTGATTTGGAAAAAAATCTAGGATGGAAATTTTAGGTAGGTAGGAGTGTTTTTTTAAAGGATGGGTAGTCAATTTTTTATAATTGGTTTAGTTGATTGTTTTCAGAAAAAAACGTAGTCAATGAATTTTTAAAACTCTAGATTAAAAAAGTGATCATCAGTTCCAATTTTATACAATAAATAATTTTACTGAAATTGGTATAGTTAAAATTTTCGCTCCTTGTTTGTTTACAATTTTATATAATTGTAAATTCAATATTTTTACATGCAATTTTCCAATTTTCGTTATCAAACATACATATTTGCTGAAAGAAATAAATTGAATTCATGGCTTGATTTTTTAGTTCATGTCTTCTGTCATGAATTCGAATTATGGCCGGTGTCAGTTTTTGAACAAAAGTCGTTTGTTTCAATAAAAATTCAAACAACTTGGAATACGATCGTAAAGACGCCTCTTTCGGTTTAAAGGCGGTGTAACCATTTGTCCTTTTACGATTGGCGTTTTATGATCCGATATTTTACACATTGCTTTTGGGCGCATTAGAAGTTTCCTGATATGCACTAAATTATAATATCCCAAAATTAATAAGTATATAGTATGTCCATAAAAATAATAGTTTTTTTTATTAGGTTACACCTATTACAGTATTATCTACATCTTTAAATTTGTGTACTTACATCCACAAAAAAATTTTCCTTTTTTCTGTAGTATCAATCTGAAGCTTATTCAAATAATTTCCAATTTACTCATAAATTAATAAAACGGGAAGGCTGTAATTTTGTTATCTATAAAATATTTATTTAATTGATTTTAACTACATTACTTTAGGTATTTTATAAACATAAACTTACTTTTATTTAGTGAAAATCTGTTTATTTAATTCCGACTGCGACTTCTGACTTTCATTCCAATCGCACTACGTTTGGAAACCAGAGTTTTTAATATATTTTACCTTATTCAAAGAATTGGATTGGGATTTTATTATTTCTTTGTATTCAAACATTTTCTCATTCGAGATTTCCATATTTGGCAGGTTAATATTCCGTTTTCTCCAGCAAAAAAATAAATAACATGATTTATTGGGATATTACATCTTAAATGGAGGGAGTTTACTAGCATATTTTCGCGTGACAGTTTAATATTAACAAGTAATGTGTAAAAAATACTTTTTGAAGTGAATTCCTACTTAGGTCAACAAAAAATAAAATTTAAAGCATTGAAAATTATTTAAAAATAAAAAAATGGATTCAACGCTTGGCACTTGGGATTTCTATATCACAGGATGCGCATTGGTAAATTTAACGGGTGGAAGCAAATTGTACCGAGAGCTCAAATGATAAGTATCGCTGTGTTTCTTCCTCGTTTGTGCATCCGACTCGATTTCTAAGAGCCGAGCTGAATTTGCCAAGGTATACCAACTTTGCTATTGTAATTTGTAAATATAATCGCTAATAATATTATATGAGAGAAATGTTTGTCTTCCATATAAAACTAAAATTACATATGTAATTAAATATAATTAATGAATTAATGTTTGAAAAAGCTGCATTAACATCGAGTGTCATCCACTGAAAGTTAAAATGTATTTAAACTCGAGTGGATGAATCAAAATTATTTTATTAACGATTGAAAATTTGAACAAGATATAAATGCATATAAATAAATATACATATGAATCTAGGAAGTGTGAAGTAACAGTAGGAATTGAAAAAGTTCCGATTTTCCAAACTTTATTAACATAATTGATGCAGTTGAGGAAAATGCAACACAGTTTCAAAAGAACAATGTCCTAAGCCTGTATAATATGTTGGATCAATAACTTGCCAACTTCTGTTTTGTTGCAGCATTCCGAATGGAACCTCTTCTTTTAAGGTTAATCCTCCGGACAGTTTTCCCAATTTTCACCAAACAGCGTAAAGCAATTTCAGGAAACTTTTATCACGGCTTGGATCGTTCTACATGTTTGTCTTGGAAAAAGATAGGCGCTGTGTTTTTAACCGAATGGCCAATTTATTAAAAAGTCTTATTTCCTGGAAATTTAAATTAATTTCGATCTTCTGTATCAAAAATTCATTCTACCTTAAAACGTCACGGTTTGTTAGTCTTTGCGAATTTTTTTGTTGAAAGGATTCTTTTCTGGAATCGATACTTCTTTAATTGATACCAGTGTAATTAAAAACTGTGGATTGACGCCGAAACAATAGATTGGAAAGGAAATTTCAGGAAAGAAAAAATGTCTGTAATTTATCAAATTAAAAATACTCCAAATCCTTTAAGGTATTAATGTCAGACCACATAAATTTTCGGTGTTTGAATTCAAAATTCATTGATATCAGTTTATTTGTAAAAATATACCTATCTACATTATAATCTATCTAGGTACTTTTTTCTCATTATGCGTAATAATTTTGTTAATTTGAAGGAGATTTATTTTGGCAGGAAATTGGCATCTAGACAGCATTAAAAAAACAGAAAAATCTTACTAAAGGCTTCCTCTATTTTAGTTTGAATATTCTCTCGTGTGTACTATATTTGATCCACTTATTTCAGTTGCCAACTTATTTCTAATATTTCGCTCTAGAATTCGGTACGAAATCACCTCGTTTGCGGTAATACTCAAGCACTTTAAACCGATTTTCTATATTACCCACCATTTCCTTCAAATATCCTAAGTACAACAATTTCGAGTAACTTTATCAAGATTTTGCTTGGTTCGTATTACTCGATTTATATACGAGCATTTTAAATTAACGGCCAATTTACAACTAAAAGTCTGTTCGAAAATGCACGGTTGCATTTAATATCTGAATATCATTTTACGGACTGAAAAGATTTGGTGTGGAAGAATACGGATATTTTTTTGAATTATCGTTTACACCTACTATAATTTAAAATCATCGGCTTAAAAACGATAAGTGCAATTAGAATTATTCATTTTTTTAATTTATTATTCTATATTATTCTAAACAACGATTTTTTAAAAATAGATGGATGGATGGATGTAAAAACCCTTTAAATTATCCATATAATTATACATATAATACTTTTCATAAATTTTACAAAAAAGAGCTAAAATTTTAACAATTAAATTACATAACATCGATTTCACTAATTGGCACAAATTAATGACTTTGAATTACCAAGCAAATAAGGGGTTTTATGTATCGAGCAAAGCCATTTGAATAATAAATCAGTTTATTCTCTAATTTGCTGGTTATTTATTTTGTTAACGGAAGTGTTATAAGTACTAAGAAATTGTCAACAATGAGACTACAGCTTATTGTTTGCTTAGAGGAGATTCTGTTTAATATTTGCTTATTTCACTGTCATTACTACAATTATTCAACTGTGAAATGCGATGTCTTTAGTTTATTCGAGTGAAACTAGTAAGTATAACTAGCTAACTAAATAAGATAGAGTTTTTTCGAAATCAAATTTCCTACTAATCATGTGTGCTGGATTATGATTTGTTGTTTAATCTATCAAAGTAGTTTATATAAAAATTTATATGGCCTATGATGTAAATATCTTCAAATTTATCAGTAAATTTGTATATCTACTAAATATGTTGTGCTCATATATTTTTACAATAATACCTTAGTTGATCCAAATGTTTTATCCGAAGAAACTAACAGATGAAAATAATCTATTTCAATTTTGATGTATTAATCTGGGTATTAAATTCATCTTTTAGTTCTTTCTGATGAATTTTATCATTATTTATTTATCCATTTAATTTTATTTTAATGAAACAAGTCTGAAAGGTTTACCGATGTTTTTAAAAAAATATGACAGATTCTTCAGCTAAAAACATTCTTGCAATATTAAATATTCTTAATTAAAACACAGTAATTAAAAATTTTAGTACTTTAATCTACCACTATTTTTTAACGATCTTTAAAAGAAAAACTTTCCAACAACAATTTGTTTAGAACTCCATTAAGTGCTTTAGGAAAGTGAAATTACTCTTAAATTATTAATTGACTAGAGAATGCGCCTTGTGTTCTACTTTAACAGGCGCAATGTATAATGGCCAAATAATGAACAAACTAAGATTAATTATTCTCTAGGCAATTGAACTATATTTACTCACCTGTTCACCCTCACAATATTACGCCATTATTTTAAATTTAACGTGAAACTTTCAGTTCAGATCTCGCATTATACCAAGTCCCAAACCAAGATATTTAAATCACAAACCGAATGTTTTATATAATTTAATAGTCAAATTAACTGAGCGTCACATGATCAAAGTTTTCACGGCATAATATTTTAGTTAAGAATTGAAAATGAAGTTGAATTAAAGCTTGTTCATAATAATCTCTTTATATGCATTTCCTCCTTTCATTCGGCATTTCACAGAGATAGAATATATCTCGTAATTTTCTCGGAATAGGTCTAACAACGAAATGAGTAATGTAGTTCTCTAGTCACGAGAGCAGTTGAGCTTCTGTAAAGCGCGCTTCGTACTTTTTCTCGTTTCCTTGTGAATTATTAAGCACTTCGATACTAGGAGTAATTGGAACCGTTCCTGCATTTCTTTTAATTTGTCTTCCTTTAGCCTTTGTCTTATTAACTCCAACCAATTAATTACAGGCCCTAATACCCACATAAACCATCAGAGTTAAATATGTGCTAAAACGAGAGCTGAATACGTGCCATTACATTTAATATGAATTTGATTAATAACTCTTCGTTTTAGTATGCAACACTTTAATGTACATTTTATTTCTTTAATTACAGAAATGGAGTGTATTTTATGTAAAACGGACAATGTTTGCACAAAATAATTCGTCATAGTGTGAAATCCCGAAACTTTCCGGATTATTTTTTGCGACCCACATAAAATAGCCCATCAATGTTGTTACCATTTTAAGTACGGTTTTCGCGTTAATCCCATTCCAGTCTGGATTCATCCAGTTTGACCCTTCTAAATGGCGTTAATTGCAGCTTCAATCCGAACTATGGCCATAGGAAAACAAGCTCTGGGATCACGGGATGGCATTTCGATAATTTTTTATTTGTGTTTGACGATTAAATGTATCTGCTGTGAAAGCCGTTATCAATGAATAGGGTTATTGAAAAATGTAACGAATCGCTAAATTGACGCCCGATAGTTCAAATCATTCGGTGAAATGAATTGTTGATTTTGCGATATTTCTTTGTAAAACAATTTCATTGCTATTTTTAAATAAGTATGAAATGAAATCATAT